CACAGTTATGCCGAAGTATTTTTTTGAGGTTATAAAAGTGAAAATTTAGGCCACGTTATACGAAACAATAACCTAACCTTGAAATCTTGAAAAAAAAAAAGATGAAATCTTGAAATCAGTACTATTTGATCCAAATTGTATACACATTGCAGGCTCCTCGCATATAGATATACGAAGTCATTGGGTAAAACATTTATCGTAGCATTTATTAAAGTACAACCTACGCGAACACCCTACGTGTAGTTATTATGTATCCTGGTAAGCAATTCTAACCTGTAAAAATATGATTGAATCGTAAGATAGCCTTCCGTACTAAACAACTTCTGCTCGACAGATAAGAACAACTTCTGCTCTTACCTACACATTATTTACACTGTATTTTTACTGCAATTTTAAGGTAGAAATTTGAAGATGTCAAACGAGGAAATATATTTCACATCGATGTATCATATTACACCCCCACTTCTGTCGTTGATTATTCCCCTCGAACCGACCGAATCGGTTCGATCAACCACGAACGCGAGCAAAGGTAAGAGTATACAGCTGCCCCGTACGTCGTCATTCTTCGGTCGGCTTGTTCTCCATCCTCCTCTCCCCCTTGCCTCATCTCGTGGGTAGGTAGGTTGCTAGGTAATTAGATTTGTACGCGCGGGCAGCATCGGCGCTGAGAAAAGGACGAGAGGTGGCGAGAGTGCGCAAGACACGGTTACTCATGCCGCTGGAATGTAGTTCACATTGTTTATATACCTCCTCCTACATGCATGCACGTCGCACTTCGTCGAACGATAAAACCAGTCGCCGGCGCTCCCGTCCGTGGATATCGCGCTCCCTGTGCGCGCGCACCCGCCGCACGCGCATGCGCGCTCCACCGAGTGCCTCTTTCATCCCTGCCGATACGCGGAATCTCTGTTTTCGAATTCGCCGCGAGCAATGGTAAATGTATCCTTCTACCTGGTACAATATGTTTTTCATCGGCTCGAGATCTGCATCCTAATGCCGGCGATGAAACTAATTGTCGGGAGATCGGTGCTGGCACAAAGGTCGCCGGTGTCGATTGTAAACCATCCTAGATCGTTCGATGAAAGCGGTAGTAAAGTGCTGAGTAATGTGAATGGCATTCGTTACGAGGGGGACGGTTATTGTGGACGGAGGAATCTTGTAGAGAGGATGGTTCAACTACTTGTCACTTTAGTTTCTCGCTTTTTCCCCCCCAAGAGTGCTTGCTCTTCGAGTTGTTCCTTGTTTCACAGACGAAACGTTAGGTTTAGCTTCAACGAATCCCCGCGAGTGATTAACCTGCAGCTCTACGATTTTTTTCGAGGTTATGTTCGTCAGCGTTGGTTATTCGTTGCTTCGATACCGTATCGCGTACAACGAAAACGTGTAACGAGATCGTGAATACGAGTTGGCTCGAGACTTACGAATGATTTTGGACGTACTGTAGCCACCGGGACGTCATTCTCCGGGGAAAAACCGCGTGGAGCATCCACCGTTGACGCGGGCGCATCCAGACACGCGCTCGCGCGCGCAAAAATTTACTCTCCGTGATTTTCCTTCGAAGTCGGTACACGGGGTCGGTGATCGCGAGGAGAATGCTACAGGGACGCAGGTTGAACGGCTGCGAAATGCATTGGCTATCGGGTCCGAGAGAGAAAGAGTGAGAGGGATGGTAGAGGAGGGTAAAAGAGAAAAAAGGATCAAGCAAACGGGGGTAGGGGGAGAGGGAGGGCGGCAGAGGGGGAGAGGAAGAAGGAGAGACCGGCTTTTATAATGGCGCGGCAGTTATACCGGTAAGCGAGTAAATGCATCAACGTGCTGCAAGCCGAGAGGCAGCCGAGAAAGAGAAATAGACAACTCTGGCTACAGAGTATGTACGAGGAAAAGAACGAACGGGCCAAGGGGAGAGGCGGCGCGCGGAGGGAGCAAGGGGGGTAAGGGAAGGATCGAGGAAAAGGGACAGAATGAGGCTCCTCGGGGTGTGGGCGGATTGCACGCGTCTCTCGGTAATGGATCCCATCGATCATCCCTCCGCGGGTAGATGGTTTCTCCTCCTTTCTGCTCTCTCGCGGATCGTCCATTAGTCAATTTCGTCGATTACCGTGGCGACTTCGTCGAATCACGGGACGACCCCAAAATAGCCGACTTGAGGACGTCGAAGAGGGAGAAGAGACGACGCTGCACGCCAGAAAGTGGTTTCGTGCGGCGGGTTTGTACTTCGTTGATCGTCAGGTACGGTCATTGTTGCAAATTTTGGCTCCGGTGATTTATGCGACGTGGGGGTTAAATAGGGTTACTTGGAATTTTAGTTTCCACTCGCGTGTGTTATCGAGGACAATTTTTTTTTTTTTTATAAATATGCTACAAATTTGGGCAAATTTTAACGATAGATTCTATTTCTTGTAAGAGCATCGAGATACTTCTTTTCTCCTACGTCGCAGCTGCACAATCTTTATACACGAAGCGATAAATGGACGAAGGGAACCACCGCTGATCCACTTCTTTTTCAAATGTACGATGTTAAGAAGAAAGTTAAACCACCTGCAAATTCATTTTCCTCGTCGCAGCTGCACAATCTTTATACACGAAGCGATAAATGGACGAAGGGAACCACCGCTGATCCACTTCTTTTTCAAATGTACGATGTTAAGAAGAAAGTTAAACCACCTGCAAATTCATTTTACACCGTCTGGGAAATTTATTCACCTACTTTAAGAGAACATCCTGTATATTTGCAGATTGTAAACTTCGTCGTACCGAAACGATCTGTTCACTCTGATTCGCGACGCTTCGATATTCCGCAAACTTGGCGAAATCGCGATGCACCACTGTCGAAGGCGAGGCTTCTCGCTAGGAAATCGAAGCAATTAATCGTTTCCAGAGGGCGAAGAAATTCCACGGAGAAGCTGATGCCCTCCTTGCATGCAATTTTTTGGAGGACTTATTGTCCGGTCGATTTATGAGCGGCTGCCTGGCACGGCGCGAGCGAGACCATCCGTTTCTCCATCCACGCGACCGCCTCTTGTTCCACGGAGATGAAAATGGAGTAATGCCGGGAGCGATTCTGTGATTTACCGTGGACCAAGAGCAGCCAGAAAGGGATTCAGCTCACGTATTGTTGAAGAGAGGAGTTCTCCTTCCTTCTCTTCCTCTTCTACAGCCTGGAATCTCTGGAAATGCCATAGTGATTTGTGCGACCGGTTACCGTTTCTATTTGCATATCCCTATCGGCTCTTTCGTACATTGTTATCTTCGTTGCCACGTGATTCTGTAGTCTAATAGCCTGACATGAAGTAATCCCGGTAGTCTTTCTCTATTTTGATAACGCTTATGCGAAACGTGGTTCGATCATCTACGAGTGGAGAAATTAAAAGATTATTCACCTCTGATTTTAACGTAGATAAAATAGAGATATCGTGACTTTTTCTATACACGTTAAAAATCATAAATGACCTTCCGTTTGGACAGTACAGGAGATGGAATAGATAATAGTGAGCATTAGCCCTCGCTCAGCCAATGCCGGGTCATTTTTGACCCATGCCTTATAACGTCTGCTCGTTCGCTGGGCTCAATCTTATCGCTGCAACATAAGCAGATGACCACGCGGAGAGTTCCAACGTCTTTAGCCGGACAGTATTGTATACAACAGCGAGAAGTAAAGATCGAAGAAGCTGAATAACAGCGTAAATATGTTCGAGATGCTACAGATTCGTAGGAAATGTTATCAAATACAGCTCTATAGGAAATGTTATCAAGTACAGTCTTTCGTTCGATCTGTCCTCTCCTTAAGATGCAGATTGAAATGCAGACAAATTTTTTAAATATGGAAGATCCAGTGGAAGAACCAATTTCGAGTTGACATCAAACGACCCTAAACGAGACTCTTGAATTATCTCGAGACCAATTTTCGAACCTCGCTATATCGATTCCGTTAACTGTACTTTTCGACCCTTTTGATCTTTTTCCAACGGCGATGCTTAACCCCTTCGCATCTGTAAACGAAATATCTCGCGATCCAATGACGTTCGTGTAACTCTGAACGAAATATCTCGTAGAGTCGTATCACAGTTGAAAATGAACTGTGGGCGACGGGAGAATAAATGTACGCGTGGTCGCGCTTGAAATCCTTTATTCAGAAAGCCAGACGAAATGTCTTGTGTCGCTAGTCGATGTCGCTCGAGGCACTCTTGGCCGTTGACTGCCCTTCGCGTCGTCGGTCGGGATTTTGGCTGCCCTCGGAACGGATCTCAAGTGCCTCTCCGCTTTCCGAGGATAGGCGTCGGTATCGACGCCGACGAGTGACTTTTCGTTTATGTTGTATAACAATGTGGCGCTGTGCGCGCTGCACGGGCCGCCACGGAACAATACAGAGTTGCACGCGTGGATAATACTATTTTGTTAGAACAAAAGTTCATAACCTATTTTTTAAATAAAATGCAAAAACACACTGTTCTGTTAGCACAGCTTCAAAAAAAAAGGAACACACGATAGACTATTAACCAAAATGTATTATTTTATTAATATAAGCGGTGACTAAGGTACTCGGGTGTCCGTCTCGCTCGACGGCTATAATAAGAGTGTCCTCTCCGCGTCCTATCCTGCGTTGCTCCGAAAAACCGTTGGAGCTCCCTCGTTCGACTTTCCGGGGAAAGGGCTTAGTTTATAGCACCCTCAGGTACCCGCGCGTTTTCTCTTCCTGGGTGACAAAGTCCAGGCCACCACTTCGCCGCCGAAATCTCGCATTCCTTACAGTTCAGATATTCGTGCATAAATTTATCCAACCCACTATCTTTCGCTATCTTTGCGGCAAGTTCCACGATTCCATCCTTCCAGAACTGACAATCTTTCCGTACGACGAACTCTACGAACTTTTCTTTCGATCGGATACTTTTCACTAACACACACGTTGTGTTTACACGTCGAACCAACCAATTTCTTCTTGTTTACCGGTGTGATTGCAGTGAGGACGCTGGGCGTAGCGGCGACGAAATGAAGCATGCAGCATGCGTGGTAGCGGTGTCACGGCTGCGCGGTCCTGCCTTCAACCCCTGGTGTCCGCCAGCCGCTACCTCGCCGTTCAAGCCCTTCCTGGTGATCCTCTTTACTTCGTCGTTGAGGTGAGTACACAGCCCAACAGTTTACATTATTAACTCGCACGGTAACGACGGGGTGGGAGGGGAGGAGGGAATAATTCACGACGACAATGCATATTCAAGATGCCACATGTATGTATAACCGTTTTCATCTTGTTCCGTTATACATGGTAATTCCTGGTCGTGTATTTTCCATGGAACTCCGGATATTATCTTCTAATGAGAAACGACAACGTTAGAAACGTCCGTAGGCCAGGTGGGTATATTTTCAAACCAAACACGATTTTTTCAACGATCGCTGGGACAATCTTTGTGCCTTAGCAGCATGGGATGTTTGTCTGTTATTTATACGGAAAATGAGAAATTTATTTAGAGTTTATTCTTGCGTAGAAGATGATTCTGGAGGAATTGTAGTAGGGGAGAGTCGTGCAGTACCGGCCACTCTAAGTTTTTGTACTATAACTTGGGCTGATAACTTGGGATAACTTTGGCCGGTACTGCACGACTCTCCCATATATGTTGCATATAGCGTGACAAAACGTTGAAATTTTCAGGTTAATTAGAGGTACACATGGTCTATGATGTTAGTAACAAAAGGAACAGTAACGGTTAACGCTGTGTTATAAATTTTTAATTAATTTATGCGTTTAATTGTTAATTCACTGAAAACAACAAATGTAGATAGTATCAGGTGTGCCTGTTATATCCCCTTGTTTTGCACATGTTCTCTGCAATATATTACACGTTGCTGTTATCTATATTAATACGTGGTAATAAATAATCATGACTTTGTCGTACACGAAAAAGTAGTTGGAATAATCAACGAGATGAGAAAAAGCATGGTGAAAAGAGTAAAATTGCTCGAGATCGGGAAGATTTTGTCGAACATTTAAAAAAGTAATCTTCTACGAAAAATAATAATATTCTTTCTTCTTTGAAGAAAAAAATCTTTCCACCGAATGGAACATCTTACATCTCGTCGCGCACTGTTCGTCGTGCATACGGTAAGCTACGGCAAGCATGAAACTAAAACGTCGACCTGGTTTTTCTTTTGTATCCAACCGGTGGTTTGCTCATGCTTGCACCCACCGTCACACACACACACACACACACTGTGTAAGGCACCTAAGCTGTTTAGCCTGGGGACAGTACCCGATAAAAAATATTATCTGCTATTAACATTTTTCAACATTTGATTCACAGAAGTATCTTTGTGTCCTTACTCTCTTCCTGCCTCTCCTTTCTCTATCTTCTGACTCACTCTTTCTGTCTCTCCCTTCTTTCCCTCTTCTTATTAATTCATTTTATCTGTCTCTCCTCTCTCTCTTCTCACTCACTCACCCTCTCACTCTTTCTATCTGTCTCTCCCCTCCCTCTCTCTTCTGACTCACTCTCTTTTTGTCTCTCCTCTCTCTCCCCCTCTTCTCACTCACTCACTCACTCACTCTTTCTATCTGTCTCTCCCTCTCTTCTCACTCTCTCTATCTGTCTCTCCTCTCTCTCTATTCTCACTCAATCTCTCCTCTCTCTCTCTATTCTCACTCAATCTCTTTCCATCTCTCCCCTCGTCTCTCTTCTAACTCACTTTCTCTCTCTCTCACTCACTCACTCACTCACTCACTCTTTCTATCTGTCTCTCCCTCTCTTCTCACTCTCTCTATCTGTCTCTCCTCTCTCTCTCTATTCTCACTCAATCTCTTTCCGTCTCTCCCCTCGTCTCTCTTCTAACTCACTTTCTTTCTCTCTCTCTCTCTCTTCTCACTCACTCACTCACTTCCTGTCTCTCCTCTTTCTCTTCTCTCACTCACTCACATACTCTCTCTCTCTCGGGGCAGAAAGATAGTACATGGCCGCGAAATACCAGAGTTTATCGGAACATGTGCATCACGATGTCGAGGGCACGCCCGGATTTTCTAATCGTGGAATGCGATTAGTTACATCCCGGGCGTGCGTGGGCACTCACTCACTCACTCACTCTTTCTATCTGTCTCTCCCCCTCTTCTCACTCTCTCTATCTGTCTCTCCTCTCTTTCTCTCTATTCTCACTCAATCTCTCCTCTCTCTCTCTATTCTCACTCAATCTCTTTCCGTCTCTCCCCTCGTCTCTTTTCTAACTCACTTTCTTTCTCTCTCTCTCTCTCTCTCTCTCTCTCTCTTCTCACTCACTCACTCACTCACTCACTTCCTGTCTCTCCTCTTTCTCTTCTCTCACTCACTCACATACTCTCTCTCTCACGGGGCAGAAAGATAGTACATGGCCGCGAAATACCAGAGTTTATCGGAACATGTGCATCACGATGTCGAGGGCACGCCCGGATTTTCTAATCGTGGAATGCGATTAGTTACATCCCGGGCGTGCGTGGGCGTGCAAGCGCGGAATAACCGATGCGAGAGGGACCAGGCAGTATAGTACAGTCGATATATTAAGGCGTGCGAAGGTACATGCACCTGCCTTGTCCTAGCTAACAGTCATTTACAACCGCGCGTTGGCTGCGGGAGTGAAGAGGAACGCCTGGTGCTAGAATGGCTAATTGAAAAAGTTCCGTGGCAGAGGTATATCACGTTAGTATACTGTACTTCCTCACGCCTTGCGACTGAATTGTTGCTCGAACGGAGCTGTTGTAGAATTTTTAATAAGGAAGTCAGATATACGCCACCGAGAGCGTAGAAATAAATTTGAAAGAGAATACTCTTGCGGTATTATATTTCGATTAATTTTCACAATTATTTTGCAATTTTGCGTACCGTCGGTTTACTAAAAGAACGACACAATTAACAAATGCTACATCTTTCAAGATATCAATTTGGAATTTTTTCTTTGGTGCAAAAGAGTTAGTCAATTTTTCTTTGCAATTTCCTTAACAGCGCGTATTTCTCTTTCGTCATTTGCCACTTCTATAGCGGTAAGAGAACGCTTGCCCTCGTAAATTTTTCACCTCGTGAAAAATGAACAATCTCGCGTATTCACTTACTCGCGTTTACAAGAATACCAGAGTCATGCACGATTAATTGTCACACTTTTCAAGATTTCACAAGGTTGTCTCAAATTTAAAAAAAAAAAAAAAAAACAATATTCCCGATTAAATCTCATTTGACAAAAACTTGTTTTAACAGAGCATTTTACTTAATCATTCGTAACATTTCCAGATCAAAATTTAGATTAAAATTTAGTCGCGAGAATCTACATATTTGTTACCTGTAAATTGCGAGAGCGAAAATAAGTATTCCACGTTGTCGCAGAATATTTAAAAATTGCTCGTATTTACGTATCAGCGCATAATTTTCCAACGCTTCCGATATTTTCCATTTAACCACTTCGCGTTAGAAGAACAATATTTTCACCTAAGACACCCATAAATAATACTCCGTGTAAATTAAATTTCTCCACGTGATTCACTCTTATCGAATTTATCCCCCCGCGGCTCTGCGTTTATCCGATCGAATAAGAGTGGTTTCGGTGCTGCTACCTCGCCACGGTTAAATTACGCGCTTCTTGTAACGGTATTTGTGCAACTTTATTGGCTGAGTTATCCGTGTTGCTGTTCGATCGCGAGAACGAACGTTTCGCTTTTTGCATCGATCGCGTTTCGTTTTATCTGAAAAAGCACAGACTGGACTTCATTGATTAAAGCCTGGTTGAAAAGATGTTTTGCAAGAGATCGGATAATTTCCTAATGGCGCTTCAGTAACGAGCTCATTAGCGCGAGTCGGTGTTTTTTCGCAAATCGAGAGAGAGAGAGAGAGAGAGGGAGAGGAAGTAACCTTATTCAACGTCTATTCTATTTACGACACTTCCCATGGAACATGTGAAAAAGGAAACGATCTTATCGCGTTTTTTAATTTTCTTATTTTTCTCTTCTTTTCTTTTCTCTTTTTTTTTTGAAAAACTGCTTCCTCCCGGGGATTACCCCTTTTTGCATATTTAGCGCGCTTCCAGGTTTCTCTGATTAATTTATCATCGCTATCGTCTCGTTTATCTGCTCATCAACTTGCAAATTGATATTGCAGATACTTTTAATAGAAAGTAACCGTTTTTGTTCTTCTATGACATTTTATAGGTTATGTTTTTTTTTTACATACGTTACATTGTAGAATAACAGTCGTCCATTTTCGAAACTCTTTCATATTTCATTTTATTTTACAAATTTAGAAAATATCTATTTTCCCGAGAACGGTGTTGCAATATTAAAAAGAATAAAAATTAAGTTAGGTTAGGTTGACACACCAGTCACGTGCTTCTAAAAATCTTCACCTCAGCGTTGTCCGATCCTGCGAACGTCAAAACGAATTATTCGCGAACTTCAAAGAGCGTCTATTCTGTTCGTTCTTCTAAAAAATTTTGTAGGTTATGTTTTTCACATAAATTACATTGCAGAATAATCGTCGTCCATTTTCAAATTCGTAAAATATCTATTTTCCCGTGAACGGTATTGCAATGTTAAAACGAAGTTAGGTTAGGTTGACACGCCAGTCACGTGCGTCTGAAGTTCTTCATCTCAGCGTTGTTTGATCCCGCGAACGTCAAAACAGAGCTATTCACGAACTTCAAAGAGCGTCTATTCTCGTGTAACGTCAGAGCGCCGAGAGAAGGAACGAATGCACGGTGAAGGCGGTAACAGTTTCAATGGCAAGGTTTCCGCAACGACGTCGATTTGCTCGTTCGAGGCTATTGCCTCTTCGCGTCGTTAGACAAACCATCTACAGAGAACGCACACGCGGTGGCGGCGGCCGACCGGCAGCACCGTGTTGCGCACCTTCTCACACGATACCATCTCCCTAATTATAGCCAGGCTCATTTGTAACGACGAATCTGAATTCCCGGTTGCCAAGGAAATTCCTCGTTCTGGCTGCGTGGCCCCGCGTTGCCCTCCTATGAAATCAACGGACTGGATTCTAGCCTCGTTACGCCGATCAACTGTAAGCACACATACAGGGTGAACAATATATATGTACGTAACGTGATTAATTCAATTATTCTGCTGTTAATGAACCGATCGACGTTTCTTTTTTTTTTCTTTGTGTTA